GAGAGAGAGAGAGAGAGAGAGAGAGAGAGAGAGAGAGAGAGAGAGAGAGAGAAAGACAGAGAGATAGCGCGTTCCCACGACGACGATGTTACCGCGAAGGCTTGCGGGTGGCTGCCTCAGATTGGGAGGCATCGGCGCTCGCTACACGGAACAGCGCCTGTCCTCGTTTCGAACGGATAGTCTCGCCAACGAGAGATTTTCCACCCAGACTACATCCGCCGTCGCAGCAGCGAGAAGCGGCCATGGAGAAGGGTACGCGAATCATCGCAGGACCCATGCCATGGAGGGGAACTCGAGCGTCCCCGCCGGAGGGAGAAATATCACGAGCACAGCGGTGGGTGGTAGTTGGGGCGTGTTGATGTTTACGGGGACTGAGCGGCGTAACCTCTTTTTTCCAGTCGTCGAAGTTCTGTCGCACTGAGAGGTGAGCGTCACGCGTCGGCGGTCGGCGGTCACGTTGTTGTTGGCATCAGAAGGTTTTGATTTATTGTGTCGTGTGAGATCACGAGCTCGAAAATGCACGACACAGGCGGCGTTAGCAGCAGCAGCAGTGGCAGCGAGAGCAGACGGTCGTGCGTCGTGGTTGTTGCAAAGCACAAGGCTCTCAGATCACCAACTAAAACTACATCCAACCCGGTAGCCGCTCGGGTGGCGGGCCACGGGCACCCCGCCTCAATTTGCAGTACGCAGGCTTTTTGTTGATGCAATTTTCACAAGGAGCAAGCACCACAGATCCCCGGACGAACCGCCCACACGTAGAATACAGCGGTCGCGATGGCCCCCCTGACAAGCAATGCGGGCCGGGCACGCCACGCAGCTGGGAAACGAGCGCTGTTCTTGTTTTCAGCTATTTATTAGAGAGAAGGTGGACAAATCCGGGGAATTGGTCGCCCCGCGGTGCTGTCGGAACTTGCGGTACATGTGCGTGCATACGGCAGCAGCTTTTGCGTGCCACCCAGCATGGTTATCCTCATGTCGGCTTGTTTCCTTTCGCGACGGGAGCACCTACTGGGCCCCTGCTGCATGAGACGACGGTACATAGTAGTCTTATCTCCGCGCTTTCATTGGCTGGATGGTGTGTGCTGCTGTAGCGAACCTCGTCAATCACTGGACACCCACGGCCCAGCACTCGAAAATGCGTGCTTTGCGTACTGGACACCCGCCGTTGTTGTGCTGCTGTCCATTTTTTATTGTCGTTCGGCAGCACGGCATTGGCAAGTTCAAGAACTTTTCATGATCGTCCTTGTGTCATGTTGGCTACTGTCGTTCGTGTTGAGGGTGATTCGCCGCACTTTGAAACTCAAACAGCAGTGGCTTCCTCTCGAACATAACTATTATACAAGTAACTCGGAGCAGGATAACTTCGCGCAAGTATTCCGAAAAGATTTTCAATGACTGGTGGGGCAATGTGGGTTGTGGCTGGAAAGAGCGGGCGGAGGGAGGTGTGCACAACGTGATCATGAGCACGCGAGCGAAAGCGACCGGAGCAGGTATTTCGCGTCCGCAAAGGACAGCGTTCTGTTGGCGGACACAGGAACTGATGTGCGGTGCCCCTTAACATCTGACTGCTTCCAAGGAGAGAATAGCACGTTCCGCGTCGATGACAATTAACAACGGCAGTACACTAGCATCGTGTCAGCCTCGTTCATGAAGACTCCCCGCCCCCCGTCGTCCCTGCGGAGGGTTACCACTGATGCCAGTAGATGAGGAACGGCGGCTATGTATTATGAGAAACGGATCTGGGGATGCTCCAAATAATTTGCAGAACCGCGCACAAACTGAAGAACAGCAGTTATCAAAGAAAGCAAGTTCGCCGTCAGTTGTTTTGTGCGACGGAGTGCCGACACGGTACACAGGAGGCGAGAGGGAACAGTGTTTAAAGCACCGCCCACCCTCCCCTCAAAAGTTTATCCTTCAGAAAACATCGAGTATAAAAGCAGAGTCGATGAGTGTCGTGAAAATGAAGCACTCAACCCGAAACACTCATCGACGCTTACAATCACGACGGGTGTCGCCACCAGGCCAGCGGGAGGTGAGGACACAGCTGTCTCATTCCATACTACATGGGAAGAATAAACGGTCATGTTATTGCTAACGCCTCGAGGGTGGGTCCGTGCTATGAGATTCCAGACGCAATATGCATAGCATTCCCTGAACACACCCTCTTGCGAAGACTCGGTTTGTGATTGGTACAATGGTGTCCTTGAGCAGCAGTAGTCGCTGTTTTGCCCTTTTTTGCTATTTTGTCAGGACTTATCCTCTGACAATTCTATGCCAAGGATTGTCGACGAGCACAACAGCAATAGTAACCGTGTGATCGTCCTCTACAATTGCGGCAGTTCAGGTCCTGCAGCATTTCCCGTCAAATCCTGTATGATCACTAAGTTCCACCCGAACACAAGGTGCCGATCCATTTCGTACTCCATGGTATTTCTTCGCATGATCACATCGCCGGTCGCCCTGGTGGTCTAGTGGGTAACCTCGCGGCCTAGTAAGGGCCAGGTCAGGCGTTCGAGTCCCGGGGTAGTGAGTTTTTTCTCTCTGAATGAGTCCTGGTCTTAGTTGGAAGCGACGCGCTGCAAAGCTCGCTGTTAGTAAACTTGATCGACTACATTGTCGACATCGACTTAACCGTCGCGAGGGAAGGGATTGCTGTACCTTTCTCGCGATAAAAAATACCTCAGGCAGGCACCGCAGGATGTAGGTGGGGACAAGAGAAGATTAAAAGAAAAGAAGAAAAGAAAACGGCGCGTGCGTACCCCCTCCTGTGGACCCCGGACGGTGCGTCTAGCTAGTTGTAGTGTATTAAGTACGCTAAGAAGTCTAAGGGCACATACGCGGCAAAACGTGCAGTGTGCACCGAAGAGGAGTAAGCAGGCGACACCAGAGATGGGACGAAAACACAAATAAAATACAAATAAGAAATCGTGTGTTGCTTGAGTTGGCACCGAACGTGCTTACCGACGGGCCAGAGTCAAAGAACTTCAGCCTTACACGGCCATAAACACATGTGTTGGTATTTTTTTTGTTGTTCGCATCGACCGCGCTAACCGGCTGACCAATGAAAAGACGTCAGTTTCAGTTCAGTTGAATTGTGTTTGTGCCCTGTGACAAACCACACGCCAGAGAGAGGAGCTGATGATGAGCGCCACCGAGAGAGCGGTGGCGGCGAATCTCTTCTTCAGCTTCGGGACGGTGGGCGAAGACGGGGAGGTCACGCTGCAGCCTCACGACCTCAGCAGAATGCTGCAGTCCATGGGCGTGGTGAGAGATAGAAATGCAGAGAGAGGGGGAGAGAGAGACAGGCAGACAGACAGAGAGAGAGAGAGAGAGAGAGAGAGAGAGAGAGAGAGAGAGAGAGAGATAGCCCATGAATGCATGTCCTGTATTCATCGCGTAGTACCGCACTTCATACAGCAGTCCCCCCCCGAATGACACTGGTCTATGGCCCCATCAAACCTGTCTTTGGTGCACAAATCCAATCTATCGTCGTCACAATGGCCCACCACATCCATTCCAACCAGGTCGTGTCCGAGGACAAGCTCAGCCAGATGGTCTCTAGGGCCGACAAAGACGCTACGGGGTGCATCTCGGAGGACGATTTCCTGGAGGCCTTCGACTGGCTCATGTCCCAGGGGCAGGACGAGCGAGATTACATGGCCATCTTCAACATGTTGGTGTGTTGGTTTACTGACTGGCCTTGTTGTGCCTCCGTAGCTTGTATGATGGGTTGGGTAACTGACTGACTGGCCTTGTTCTGTCTTGTAGATGGCTGTCTCACGGATGTGCCGTGTGCGGGTTTGTGGGTGGCTGTTGTTTCTGACCCCTTGACTCACCACTTGAGTTTTATGGTAACCCCGTGTTCCTATGAATATGGTATCAGGAACAACTTGCTGTACAACCGGCGCGGAAGAGAAAATATTTGCAAAAACTTGATTTTGACCCACGTTTGCGGGGCAACCGGGCTTCTGACGTTGACCTTATTTAGAGGGACCACTACCATTGTACTGCCGTACGCATCGAAGGAAATCCGAACAATTTTCCGCTCTATCTCCGGCGGCGACCGAGATAATTCTAGCGCCGTCAACATTCGGGGTGGGGGTGATTGGGGGGTCTTGCCTCTGTGCGGAGATTCTTTAGGTGTTAAGAGGTGTATGTATGGCGATTGCGTTGTGGATCTGGTATCGGGTTTGAGGAGTGCTGTTCCTGCAGGCTTGAACGCGTGTTGACATAGTCTTCACACCAACCGTGGGGGCGTCTGCCTCGAGTAGATGTACGTGTTCACCACGCCCGCCCCTCCGCTTTTTGTTGATGCCCCGCAGGATAAGGACCAGAACGGTTACGTTGACGTCGACGAGCTGACCAACCTGCACTCGACGACAAAGGAGAGGCTCACCGTGGTAGAGGCGAAGAAGATTCTAGAGGTACCTACGCTAGGCTGTATCTCTTTCGATTCGTTTCGCCAAGAATCGATTTATTTTTGTTCAAGTCGTGTGCATGTGCCGCTTGCTGGAGGGTGGCCCGGGGGGGG